ATAATCACTTACCTTTATAGTCTCCAAAAAGAATTTGCATAATTCTATAACGGTCCATCGGATTGAAATTTGATATGTAAATTAATACGGTCATTGAAGTTGTTATACTAAATGATGGTTTCCCTGGTTGATGTGTTAATCAGAATATAAAACATAGTTGCATAAACCTTTTCATTTTCTATTTTTTTGGCATTGAACTCACCTCAACTAATACTTGAAGTAGTTCTTGTCCAATTATTTCTTCAAAGATCAAGAGTGAATGAGTTTCTCTGTTTCTGACTTGAAGGGATGACAATTGGTTTGTGTTTAAGGTAGAATTTGTTGGAGGCCCCATGTGTTGGAATACACGCACATTTTCTGCAGCTGCTGGTAAGAAGGATTTATCTTAAGCAATTATATAACAAGCTCTTTTACATACCAAAATTGAAATATAAAGTTCTGACTTAATATTTGTTACTCTTTATTCTAGGTGGGGGTGCTTTTTGTAATGGGCAAAAGATTCAAGTGAGTCATACCGATAAGGTGAGTGATCATGTTATATGTAGACTATAATTTTTTATTCAATAGGTGACCTTCAATAAAACTTTTTTTGTTGGTGGCGGATGTGGAAGAGAGACTGGTTAAGGATGTGGCCAACAACACTCTCTGTTTTATGGCGTCTAGACACAAGGAATTTTTCCGTGAACTTTACATACTTTCAGACCTTGTGATCAGACTCCATTATGGATTTCTGAGCACATTCTTCGTAATCAGTTCCTTTCCCAAGCTCAGTTTATGCAAGGAAAAGGAACTGAGAAGAAGGTATTGACAACAACAGATTTTATTACAGGACAGTTCAAATGCTTGTGTATATTTCACTTCTTATCTATCTATAAAATTAATCATGTTCGTTCTACTTCTGGAAACGGATCACATTGAAAAAAGTTGTGTAAAAGTGTGGTGGTTTAGAGCTGAAAGCTGGATTTTTTTTTTCAGCTCACCTATTTTCACTTGTTTTCTTAGGTGGAGCAGTCACTTCTAGTTACTGGATTTGGGTATGAACATGACGATGCATGGAGTACCAACATAGATTTATTCAAAGAATTTACTGATGTCAGCCGGGTAATAACCATTTTCTTTCACTTGCTTTACTGATAACTTGCTTTACTTCTTACATCATAGATAGGGGTGGAAGATTTTGTGTTTCAAGGTTTTGTAATCTCTCTCTCCATTTTGACATTTATGTGTAGGGCGTGAGAAGGCTTGGTGCTGCTGCAGTGGATATGTGCCATGTAGCTTTGGGAATTGTAGAAGCATATTGGGAATATCGTCTAAAACCATGGGATATGGCTGCTGGTGTTTTGGTAACATCAATCATTTTAAGAAATATTTCTTATTTTATCTTCTAGATATCAATGAAAGAACTATATATAAAACAATACCCAATTAATACACATTAATTCTCGGGATACTCTTTGAGTGAACTACCCGTAATTCTCGGCATACTCTTCTAAGGAGTACAACATTGTATACCAAATAAATCAACAAAAAAGACAAAAAGAAAAGGAGGGACGAAATAAGGTACCAGAAAGCAATTTCACCACAATAGTTATCCCACTGCAAAAGCATATTCCTCTATGCCATAAAATATTTTCTGGTACCAAATATATAGCAAAACTGGCCCGCGTGTAAGGACGAAGATTCCCCATTCAAAATAATTCAAACACATTTATTTTCCCGCCTTTGCTTTATGTCTATCATTCTGCAAAAATATTTTCTTTACAGCCACGCAAACCACCAGAAGAGCGACACGTGTATAGCACTATCTGACAAATGAATCAAAAGTACTCACACCACTCACACATGGGCCCGGGTGTGACTTCCTTTTTACTACATCCATATACGTGTCCATAAGTACAGCAATGGACGGCTCAGATCAGCAGGAGGGGGGCCGCTGGTAATATTAATACAGCGCCCCCCCAAGTCACACCACTCACACCATTCACACCAGGTTTTTTAACTAATAGGGAGGCCTTGTACGACTGGTGTGAGTTCACTGTTTACCACTACAAAATGCCTCACCAAACCTCTTTCCGTTTTTATGCCAAGAATGTTTTCCTCACTTATCCACAATGCCCATGCCCAAAAGAACAACTCCTAGAACTCCTACAATCTCTCCTTCAACTAGCTTGTCAGCCATACTACATACTTGTCGCAAGGGAGCTCCATGAAAATGGAAACCCTCACCTTCATGTCTTGGTTCAATGCACGAAGAAGATCCAAACTTCAAACCCAAGATTTTTCGATCTCACTGGAACCAACGGGAGGATCTACCATCCAAATATAGAAAAACTCCACTCCCCAACAGCAAGTAGACAGTATATACAGAAAGAGGGCGAGTTCGTCGAATGGGGAAAATTTTCAACTAAAGGGAAAAGTCCTTCGAAAAACAGAGATGGACTCTGGAGGGGAATCCTTGGCGAAACAGAAACGGAGGAACAATTCTTTACTCTCTTTAAAGAAAGATGTCCCACCGATTACGTCACAAAATACCCCCAATTAAAAACATTTTCGAGGGATCATTACAAAAGAGAGAGGCCCCCCATATACTAGCCCCTTTAATTCATTTCCTTTCTTAAATGAAGAAGTAAAAAAATTGGCAGAAAATAATATTTTGTTTGTAAGTCAAAATTTCGTTCAGTACGAGTTATGTCAAAATTCTTGTCTCTCCGTTTGGAGGGAAGACGACTTCCTTAGATTAGGGATACACAAAAATAATATCAATGATTTATATACTGACGAAGAACTCTCCTCCTCCTCCTCTGATAACAGGAACCAGAGCAGAGGCCCATCCGCCCAATCTCCCTTTACCTCGAAGGACCCTCAAGAACAGGCAAAACCGCCTGGGCCAGAAGCCTCGGACGACGCAATTACTTCTTCAGCAGAATAAGCTTCAAGGACTACGACCAAGACGCCATCTACAACGTCATAGACGACATCAAATACTCGACAGTTCCTACCGAATTAATGAAGAATTTAGTAGGCTGCCAGAGAATTTTCCATATATTTGTTAAGTTCCAACCAGATCTCACTATTAGGGGAGGAATTCCTTGTATTTTATTAACAAATGGGGACAGTAATTGGTTAGATGCAATGGCCCTAAAAATGAGAGAATGGTTTGATGTTAATGTAACCACTGTCATAATTAATGAAAAAATTTTATTAATTTTATTTATGAAACCACTCAAAATTTTATTTACTTATTACATTTCCATTATCATCAACTATTACATCTTGAGTCACATCACTATTTTTTACACTGATGATTACATTTCGTAAAACATTAGAAAATTCTGCTGCATCCATAACAACTGATCCTCTACGATCAACTTCCTCTTTGCTAACACCAACCTCTGAAATCGACGGACCAGGATCAACATCACTAGATTCATCACCACCTCTGCGTACATCAATCTCTGACAAACTCAGACGACCTCTGCGTTCATGAATGACTGAACCACTTTCCCCAAAACCTCCTAACAACAAATCTCTTCGCCTCTCCGGTAAACCAACAGACTTAGTCCGTGTCAGAATCGAAATGAACTGCCCGTAATTCCAATGCCAGACATCAACATTATCATTAGTATATTTTTTAGATAACACAACAATAGAGGGGGCCCTCATTTGCGAATCTTCTGGCATGTCACTCGTAGAATACTTCAAA